TCTGCACGAGCGCCAGCCAAGGCATTGGCCTATACACATACAGCACAGCAATGAAGTAATAAAATGAACTAGGATCACACTAATCCAGCACGTTATTATTCCGAGTTGCCCCACTCAAGCGGCGGCCATATTGAGTGGGGCACGTGAGATAAATAACGTGCTGGATTAGTGTGATCCTAGTTCATTTTATTACTTCATTGCTGTGCTGTATGTCTATAGGCCAACGTAGTTGGATCTGTATGTGCGTTATAATTAATCGATTAAAAAAAAATTTGATTAATCGAACACGAAAATTGTAATCATTACCAGCCCTAAAAAAAAAGCATAACGCACTTAGTGTGACTTAGTGCAACGTTTCGGGGTCACGTACGATCCCCTTCATCACTTGTTCTGCCTGATGGAAGGGGATCCTACGTGACCCCGAAACGTTGCACTAAGTGTGTTGTGCTTTTTGTGCATGTACGTCAATAAATAGACGTATTGTACCCGTCGTTGCAGTGCCGGTGTCCATATTCCTTTGTACTATGGATTTGACTCTCCCAGGGGAGTCAAATGTTCTAACCAGTGCAAAGGTACTCTGCAAATCATTAAAAACTTACTTATGGAAAGGAAAAAACGCACAAGTAAGCAATTACAATACTTATGTTGATGTGTAATAACCAGAGAAAACAAGCAAAGAGATTTGTAACTGCTACAGGAATGCGAGTGTGACACGGCCCTTATATTCCTGAACACAATGTCCTGTGCTGAGAAAACATTGATTTACAATCAGGGGGTCATCCAACGTGCCTCTGCGAGCTATGCCAGTAACTGTCAGTCTTGTAATGCCTCATGGGACTTGTAGTTCCTCAACAGCTAGAGGGCCGGAGCTACCTACCCCTGATCTACATTCATTGTGGAAGCAGCACTGCTGCGGGCTCCTAGACCTTACAGTCACTGATCACGCTGGTCTCACGTTACTTACCGGGAACCACAATAACCTGATCCTGATCACGTGATCACCATGGCAGCCAATAATGGCGTTCACATGTGTTCACAAGCTTGGCACTTACAATATAATGATGCAGAAAGCAGTGCTAACACTATGATGCCAGTGCCGTTTTCTGATTCGTTATCTCTTGATTGCTGGGCGCCCTTACAAGGGGCAGGTAAACAATGCCCTGCACTCTCAGTATGTCCCACCTTCCAAGTTCAGTGACGCTGGGCATCATTCAAAACTGAAGACTGAGGACATCTAGTGGCGGAAAAGAGATACAACATCCAAGAGATGCTAAGTACTGCAGCCACCAGTTCCTTTTTTTTCCTTCTGGCGAACATTTAAAAAAAATGAGCCCTTTAATCTGCATTCTTCTACTTGTCAGCTTCACAAAAACATAAGCAGGGAATTAGTTAAAGCATACCAAATAAAAGCCTTATATGTGGGGCTACCCCAGCACTGCAAGGGTTAAATGCTCATTTTGGTCTGGGGCCGGAATACAGAAGATACACTCACCTGATCCTCGGTCCTGCAGCAGTGAGTGCTTATCTCTCCCCCCAGCCATCCTGCTCCAGCTGCAGAATATCCCTTGGCATCCTCACAACTAATGCAAGTGAATGGACTGTATTAGAAGTGACGACATCAGCGGGGCTTAGATTGCCTTAGCCCAGGGGAGAAGAGGCCCCAGGGACAGGTCAAGCGTCCGACTTGGAGCTTCCTGTAATGTAAGACCAGTCACTGCTGCTCTCTCTCCTTGGGCAGGGTGACTGGTCTGGTCTCCACCCCCTCCTGTAATAAAGACCACTCAATGCTGCTCTCTTTCCTTGTGCTGGGTGACTGGTCTTGTCTCCGCCCCCATCCTGTAATAAAGACCATTCATTGCGGTTCTCTTTCCTTGTGCTGGGTGACTGGTCTTGTCTCCGCCCCCTCCTGTAATAAACACCGGTCACTGCTGCTCTCTCTCCTTGTGAAGGGTGACTGGTCTTGTCTCCGCCCCCTCCTGTAATAAAGACCACTCACTACTGCCCTCTCTACTTGTGAAGGGTGACTGGTCTTGTATCCCACCCAGTCCTGTATTTTTCTGCAGGCAGCCTGTAGTGGGTGGGGCCTGCTGGGCCCCTAACAGCTCTGCTCTATGCACAGGCTACATACAGTACAGTGATGATGTCACTGCTAATTTTGGAAGGTCATATCTGGGTTTACAAATGCTTTTTGACACACAAAGTGGATTTATATGCTTTGTGACTATTCAGAAATATATTTAGATGAACGTTTTTGAGCCCAGAGTTCAGCTTTAAGGCCGAATGCTCAGGATTCTTGCACAAGCCGAGCTGTGACCGGTTCTCTTTATGGCTCCTTTAATTTGTGAAGAGAAAATCCAGACAGAAACAGACAGTAGCAGTAAGCCATCAGAAGATACGATTGTGCCGCCCGCTGCCCCTGATACCATTAAATCTTCTGCCTTATCCTGCGGCCATAAAGAGAAGGCTTTAATTAGCTTTTTCTTTAATGGGAAGGTGAGCTGGCCTTATAAAGAAAGCTGCAATTCCATGAAAACAAAGCCGCCCTTTATTGAAGCTGTAAATCAGAGGAGAAGGATAGCGGACATATTTACTGCTCCGGCCTGTCCCCATCTGTCGCTCAAATCCTCTCCCTCCAAAGCTTTTCATATGACACGAAGGCCAAACAAGTAGAAACTCGTAAACGGTCAGCGCGCGGAGAAATAAAACGGAGGGAAATAAAAGCGAACTGCGACGAACGGCTGCCATGGGAGGAAAGCTGAACCGGACTGCACAATTGGGGGGGACTTAGAGCGAAGTCACAGCATAGAGATGGGAGTATTATTGGGATATTGTGGTCAGGATTTAGGTTATAACTGAAGGAAAAACATGTAGCAATGGATAATACACCAAGGCGTAGATTTAGAAAGCAGTGAATCTCGTTTTCACCAAACATTCATTGCATGTGATTCTTCCTGTGGCATGTGATTTCACCACCATTAAATGTTAGGTGAAAGACACAGTTAGGCCTTGTTCAGGTGCAGAGCAGATCAGTTACAGACCGGATCAGAACTGCGTCCAATGTATTCCAATGGTATTTTTTGCTGCAGTTCACATCGCAGCGTGCAGTTCCAGAGCAGGTGAAAAAACTGCAGCAGGCCCTATTTTACATGCTCTGGATCTGCAAAAACGCATGCAAATGCCTGGAACGCACTGAAAGCCCATGTTAAACAAAAACAATTTATTTTTATAAAAAACGGCCCGGAACGCATCAAAAACGCGGCACAACCCACTGCACTGCGTGTGCAGAAACCTGAGCGGATCTGCTCTGCATTTGGTGTGAACAAGGCGTTACTGCTACAGCTCCATCCCCCTGCCAAACTCCTCTGCAACTCCGCTCCCCTGTCCGCAATCCCCTGCAGCTCGCAGCTCTGCTCCCCTGTCCGCAATCCCCTGCAGCTCCGCTCCCCTGTCCGCAATCCCCTGCAGCTCCGCTCCCCTGTCCGCAATCCCCTGCAGCTCCGCTCCCCTGTCCGCAATCCCCTGCAGCTCCGCTCCCCTGTCCGCAATCCCCTGCAGCTCCGCTCCCCTGCGTGCACTCCCTTTCCCATGCGCACACTCCTTTGCAGCTTCGCTCCCCTGCTTGCACTCCCTTGCAGCTTCGCTCCCCTGCTTGCACTCCCTTGCAGCTTCACTCCCCTGCAGCTCCGCTCCCCTGCACGCACTCCCCTGGAGCTGTCATTTTTGAGGAGCATATGGGGCTCCGGGGATTTGTGCATCTCTGTTCTAATGTATGATTTTTTTTTTTATTTATATATATATTTGGGATGCACCGATACTTTTTTTTCAAATACCAATACTTGTCCAAGTCCTCACAGATTACGAGTACTGATACATTTTTGTTTATTGTCATGTGACAGTTTTTCTAAAACAATACAGACAAATGATTTCAGGACAGTGGTGGAGCGCCAAAGCCCGGTCCCAGCTGCAACCGCTGCAACCCTGGTAGTTCTCATGAAAATGCCAAGTATCAGCACTGGTATCTGAACACTCCTACTATAAACTATTGGAATTGCTTAACAATCTTGATTTACAGATGCATTTCCAAATCCCACGCGGGACACTGTCTGTAAGTTTGTGTGTTCTCAAAGTTCCACTGCAGTCCAAAAGTACTCTTGCAGGGTGCCTAAATTCTTCCCAAAATGTTCCCTACGGAGCTTATAAGTGTGATAGGAATGCAGAGACAGGGGCTAATGTGAATGTGTTGGTGCTACATTCATTGCAGACATAATAAGAATGCACATGCACACATTTCCTATCACCATGCTTTACCCTGTGGTTAGAAAAATGTAAACACCGCTGTACAGTGCAGGTATGCTGGGTATAAGGTTTAACGCTGAAGTTTAACCTGCTTATATTTTGCCAACACTGCATTTATTTCATTGCTAAAGAAAGAGTGTTGTCACCCTATTAAAGGAAATTCCTATCTAATGGTTCTACTGGCAGGATCAGCAGGTATTTGCTACATGTTCCAGAGGGTACTCGGAATAACAGAGAACCCAGACTTAGTAGCAAGGACAGCCTACTAAAGATATGGGATCTAACAGTTCAACTGGAGTTCTACTATAATGGAGAACTATGGGGTCAGGGCTTTTCCTTATAGTTCTCCTAAAGGTAACAGGAGGACAGCTCTCTGCAGACACAGGATCGAGAAGTGAGCGAGTGACGATATGTGTTCGCTCACTTCCCAATCTATTGAGCCGACCTGTGACAGTTTCATTGTCACACGTCGGCTCGAACTATGAGGGTGAGTGATTTTCACTCCTCATAGTTCTCCTTTAAGCAGTGGTTGTGCAGAAGGCTTTAGGGCAATGATGAATGTGATATTTGGCATGCAGCGTGGTGGACATTATTTCTTTACTTACTATGTAAATGTACCAAATCACTATAATAATTGGCTTTAGGTTTCTCATAGGACCTGGAAAACAGACTGTGAAATGATAGATCGGGTCAGTGAAAGTCACCTTGGCCAGTCTGCTCATTTGATCCTCAGATATGGAGCTGCTCGTCCTCCCTGGCGTCTTGGTCGGTTCTGATCCATCAGCTTCGATATTTGGCCACACTTTCAAGTCGTGCATTCCCTGCCGGAACATCCTGCAGCGGCATAAAATAACTGGAAATGACTGGGAAATTCAAACTGTTTCAGATGACAATTACAGTATGAAAAAAATCTCTTGTATTATTATTAGGGATGCACTGATACCAGTATATTGGTACTGAGTACGAGTACCGATCATTTTTTTTCGGTACTCGCCGATACCAATTACCGAGTAACGGGAGTCCCATTCAGGAAGCCAGGTGCAGGGGTGGGCAACTCCGGCCCTCCAGCTGTTGTGGAACTACAAGTCCAATGAGGCCTTGCAAGACTGATAGCCACAGGCATGACTCCCAGACGCAGATGCATGATGGCATTTAGCTTTACCATAGCTGGAGTGCGGCGGTTGCCTACCCATCTTGAATTTAAAACTTTATCTGTCAACTTACCCGTACTTCCCAAACAGTGACACAGTTGTTCCGCCCACAGGGATGGCCTTCCCAGGTCCATATACGTCCCAAATAGTCAGCGCCACCTGCGCATTTCTGGGTAAGTCAGCGTATTTCACCGGCAGCTTCATCCACTCGTTCCAGCTGAAACACCAACACACACAAAGTATAAAACCTACAATGTAATGTAGAACGCAGATATCATATACTACAAGCAGGCAACCGGGGGGGCTTCAGCCAATGTGAAAAGAAAATGCTGCCATTCTGCCTGGACATACAAGGACAGGGCTGGCCAAATCCCAGGAGTCAGGCTCCTTAGTTCTAATTGTTGTCAATGGAGCTGACTCCAGGACTGGACAGATTGGCTCCCGAATTCTGCATTAATCTGCCCACCCCTGTGCTAGGAATAGTATAACACAGGAGCCAGAGGACAGTGCCTGACAAGATGGGGCAGGAACATGAAATATCCCGCACCGTTCAATGCAGGACATCATCTGAAAACCCGCAGACATTGATCTTGGATTGAACAATATGGCCTAACTACTACAACACGGCACGCCTCTCACCTACTACAACACGGCACGCCTCTCACCGGATACCACACGGCACGCCTCTCCCCGGATACCACACGGCACGCCTCTCCCCGGATACCACACGGCACGCCTCTCCCCGGATACCACACGGCACGCCTCTCCCCGGATACCACACGGCACGCCTCTCCCCGGATACCACACGGCACGCCTCTCCCCGGATACCACACGGCACGCCTCTCCCCGGATACCACACGGCACGCCTCTCCCCGGATACCACACGGCACGCCTCTCCCCGGATACCACACGGCACGCCTCTCCCCGGATACCACACGGCACGCCTCTCCCCGGATACCACACGGCACGCCTCTCCCCGGATACCACACGGCACGCCTCTCCCCGGATACCACACGGCACGCCTCTCCCCGGATACCACACGGCACGCCTCTCCCCGGATACCACACGGCACGCCTCTCCCCGGATACCACACGGCACGCCTCTCCCCGGATACCACACGGCACGCCTCTCCCCGGATACCACACGGCACGCCTCTCCCCGGATACCACACGGCACGCCTCTCCCCGGATACCACACGGCACGCCTCTCCCCGGATACCACACGGCACGCCTCTCCCCGGATACCACACGGCACGCCTCTCCCCGGATACCACACGGCACGCCTCTCCCCGGATACCACACGGCACGCCTCTCCCCGGATACCACACGGCACGCCTCTCCCCGGATACCACACGGCACGCCTCTCCCCGGATACCACACGGCACGCCTCTCCCCGGATACCACACGGCACGCCTCTCCCCGGATACCACACGGCACGCCTCTCCCCGGATACCACACGGCACGCCTCTCCCCGGATACCACACGGCACGCCTCTCCCCGGATACCACACGGCACGCCTCTCCCCGGATACCACACGGCACGCCTCTCCCCGGATACCACACGGCACGCCTCTCCCCGGATACCACACGGCACGCCTCTCCCCGGATACCACACGGCACGCCTCTCCCCGGATACCACACGGCACGCCTCTCCCCGGATACCACACGGCACGCCTCTCCCCGGATACCACACGGCACGCCTCTCCCCGGATACCACACGGCACGCCTCTCCCCGGATACCACACGGCACGCCTCTCCCCGGATACCACACGGCACGCCTCTCCCCGGATACCACACGGCACGCCTCTCCCCGGATACCACACGGCACGCCTCTCCCCGGATACCACACGGCACGCCTCTCCCCGGATACCACACGGCACGCCTCTCCCCGGATACCACACGGCACGCCTCTCCCCGGATACCACACGGCACGCCTCTCCCCGGATACCACACGGCACGCCTCTCCCCGGATACCACACGGCACGCCTCTCCCCGGATACCACACGGCACGCCTCTCACCTACTACAACACGGCACGCCTCTCACCTACTACAACATGGCACGCCTCTCACCGGATACCACACTGCACGCCTCCCATCGGACACCAACAAATCTCTATTGATACTTGCTTGAGCATGTGACCAACTCCCACCCCCCCTTTACAAGGTCCAGTTTGTTTGACTAGTGTGATTGCCCCATACTATACTTGAGCATGGTTCAGTTGGACTCCTGTTTAGAACGCATATGTGTGACCGCTAAACGTGTCCGGGCATGGAATTTGAACACTGGAGCAGATAAAACCATTTGTGCCCACTCAGGTATTAAGAATGAGGGGGGAGACAGAGAATGAGGGGGGAGAGGATGATATAAGTGTGCTCGGGCCAGGCACAGTGTGGGCACGGGAAGCACTCTAGGGCTTGACACAACGTGAGAGTGAGAAACGTGCTTGGGCCCATCACGATGTAGGCGCAGGAAGCGCGCTTGGGACCAACACAATGTGTAAAACTACAAATCCCATGAGGCATTGCAATATTCTGACAGCCACAGGCATGACTTCAATAGTAATGACAAGAGTTGGCGTTTCACCACAATTGGAGGGCCGGAGTTTGCATACTCCTTCTATATAGCCGTAAGGGCTGCCTAGTGACCTTTTTTAGTGCCAGGACTGTTATACGGGCTGGCGTGGGTGGCGGGGCAAAGGTCACCATTACAGAAAAGTGAAGAGGGGCAAGGAGGGTGTTGTGAGATAGTTTTAATTATTGTGAAAAAGGTGGAATTTTAACTACCTCCCGGCCGGCCGTTGTAAAAAGAACGGCCGGCCGGGAGCTCTCTAGATCTGAGCGGGCGTCTTTAGACGTCCGCTCAGACAGCCCCCCTAGAGCGCGCCGCGGGGCGCGCACGAGACGGAAATGCACGATATTTAAAAACAGGCAGCGATGCCTGTTAACATACAAGCGATCCGCCGGCTATAGAGCCGGTGGATCGCTTGTATGGGTCAACGATCGTTGTCCTCCCTCCCCCCCCCTCGTCGTTGTCCCGCTGGCCCAGGCTCCGCTGTGCCCGGTGCGAGCCCATTAGGGGTCTTGGAGACCCCTGATGTCTCCATAAAGAGGACCTGTCACATATTTTGCTATCACATGGGGGGTGGGAGGTTTATTACCCCCCGTATGCGATAGTAATAAAGTTTATTGAAAAAAAAAATTGCTAAAAAAAGTCCCCCCATACATACATGTGCAAACATGCGTCGGTGGAGCATACGTTCAAAAACGATGATTGCGCCCATTACGCCGCATGTTACATATCGCCGCGAACGGCACAGTGAGAGCAATCATTCTAGGGCCATCAATCACTGATGACACTAAACTGATGGGCGGCAAAAGATTTTAAAGTGTCGCCTATGGCCAATTTTGGGCATGGTAGTTTTCTGCGATTTCGCAGGTGCACGCAATTTTAAAGCTTGACACGTTTGGTGTCTATTTACCCGACGTGACCCCGTATTTTATATTTTACCAAACAATTGGGTAATAATGAATGTTTCCTAACATAATTTTTCAGTAATTTTTCTTAATTATAGTAAAAAATAAAACCCCCAGTGGTGATGAAATACCACCAAAAGAAAGCTCTATCAGTCCCCCCAAAAATGGTATAAAATTCATTTCAGTACAGCGTTGCATGACGGAATAAATGTCAGTCAAAGTACCGCAGCGCTGAATACTGAAACATGGCCTGGCCAGGAAGGGGTCTAAACACCTGGTCAGCAAGCAGTTAAGCAGATACCCAGAATAATTGAAGTCTCTGCCCTCCCTAATTTGGGTTCAGCAGGAGTCAGTGAAGGTGCCAGTCCTGCTCCGGGTTCAGAAGGAGTTAATGATGGTGCCCGCCCTGCTCCGGGTTCAGCTTAAGTCAGTGAAGGTGCCCGCCCTGCTCTGAGTACACCAGGAGTCAGTGAAGGTGCCCGCCCTGCTCTGAATACACCAGGAGTCAGTGAAGGTGCCCGCCCTGCTCTGGGTACACCAGGAGTCAGTGAAGGTGCCCGCCCTGCTCTGGGTACACCAGGAGTCAGTGAAGGTGCCCGCCCTGCTCTGGGTACACCAGGAGTCAGTGAAGGTGCCCGCCCTGCTCTGGGTACACCAGGAGTCAGTGAAGGTGCCCGCCCTGCTCTGGGTACACCAGGAGTCAGTGAAGGTGCCCGCCCTGCTCTGGGTACACCAGGAGTCAGTGAAGGTGCCCGCCCTGCTCTGGGTACACCAGGAGTCAGTGAAGGTGCTCGTCCTGCTCTGGGTACACCAGGAGTCAGTGAAGGTGCCCGCCCTGCTCTGAATACACCAGGAGTCAGTGATGGTGCCCGTCCTGCTCTGAATACACCAGGAGTCAGTGATGGTGCCCGTCCTGCTCTGAATACACCAGGAGTCAGTGATGGTGCCCGTCCTGCTCTGAATACACCAGGAGTCAGTGATGGTGCCCGTCCTGCTCTGAATACACCAGGAGTCAGTGATGGTGCCCGTCCTGCTCTGAATACACCAGGAGTCAGTGATGGTGCCCGTCCTGCTCTGAATACACCAGGAGTCAGTGATGGTGCCCGTCCTGCTCTGAATACACCAGGAGTCAGTGATGGTGCCCGTCCTGCTCTGAATACACCAGGAGTCAGTGATGGTGCCCGTCCTGCTCTGAATACACCAGGAGTCAGTGATGGTGCCCGTCCTGCTCTGAATACACCAGGAGTCAGTGATGGTGCCCGTCCTGCTCTGAATACACCAGGAGTCAGTGATGGTGCCCGTCCTGCTCTGAATACACCAGGAGTCAGTGATGGTGCCCGTCCTGCTCTGAATACACCAGGAGTCAGTGATGGTGCCCGTCCTGCTCTGAATACACCAGGAGTCAGTGATGGTGCCCGTCCTGCTCTGAATACACCAGGAGTCAGTGATGGTGCCCGTCCTGCTCTGAATACACCAGGAGTCAGTGAAGGTGCCCGCCCTGCTCTGTGTACACCAGGAGTCAGTGAAGGTGCTCGTCCTGATCTGAATACACCAGGAGTCAGTGAAGGTGCCCGCCCTGCTCTGGGTACACCAGGAGTCAGTGAAGGTGCCCACCCTGCTCTGGGTACACCAGGAGTCAGTGAAGGTGCCCGCCCTGCTCTGGGTACACCAGGAGTCAGTGAAGGTGCCCGCCCTGCTCTGGGTACACCAGGAGTCAGTGGAAGATGTGTTGGGTCTGTCCCCACAATAGACAATCCAGAACTTACTTCCATCTGGTGCTGAAGGCTTTGAAAGACGTCCTCACAGGGAGAGCCAGCGGCTTTCCTTCCGCAAAAACCTGGCAGGTGACATAAAGATCGGAGCACGTCTCCTGGTAGAGTCCAGAGAACTTCAGCATGGGGTCCTCCAGCACCGCCTTGTAGCTCTTCTGTTCCCTCTTCCCCTCCAGACTTCCTCTGAGGATAGAAAACAGAAAAAAACTGTGACCTACCAAACCTGAGACATCATGCATGATGACACAAACTTCCCCCTCCGGACAAAATGTGCATCTGTCGTCACTGACTTCACAGCTCAACTCCGGGATCAGTAAACATTGTCCTCATACAAGTCATGTGTATTCTTCCTGAATCTCGGTGAGCTTTGTGTATTTCTTCCAGTTCTGTGCAGCAATCCAGTGTGAGACTTGGAGTTTCCTGTAATAGACCGGTCACTGCTGCTTGTGCAGGGTGACTGGTCTTGTCTCCGCCCCTCCTGTAATAAAGACCCGTCACTGCTGGTCTCTCTCCTTGTGCAGGGAGACTGGTCTTGTCTCTGCCCCCTCCTGTAATGGTAGCGGGGACGGGTAGACGTAAAGGCGTAGGGGTGGGGTTAATGGTGGGGGAGGAGTCTCTCACTCAATCTTGAGCTGTACACTCAAGGGCCAGGTACTGTAATTGGGGGAGGGAGAGCATATTAAGATATTAGGTGCAGTAGTACAATGACAGGTGGGGGGGTGGGAAGGGTGACTGGAGATAAAAATAGGGGTCTCTCACTCTCCTATTGGACTGTACACTGTTGTCCAGGTATTGGGGACAGGGGATGGAGACCAGGTGAGGATACTAGGTGTAGTAGTACAATGACAGGCAGGTGGGGGTATAATAATGGGGGCCTCTCACTCACATCTTGAGCTGTACACTGATGTCCAGGTCACAGCTGTACACATAGTAGAACCGGTCCGCTTCCCCCATGGCGGTGCAGGTGATGGAGATCCTCTTTCTCCGCTATAATCCGCCGCCTGACAGGAAACAAGAACAACAACAATCCGGGACCCCGGCACGACCCGGCAGCGCTCTCCGATTGGAAGGAACAGCACGTGCTCTTCCGGGATTCCTCCGGTGCCCATGACAACACCCGAAGCGTGATCTGACAGCTGACTGGAAACCACGCCCGTGCTAGGCCGCTCTTGTCACATGACTTCGTGTGGTTGGCGGCTTCCCTGCGCTTGCGCGAGGAGAGGGAGTGCCGCCATATTGTGGTTGGCTCTTTGAAACCAGCTGCACTCTTTATCACATAGTTAAACCAGCTGCGGCAGAGTATGAGGTGCTACAGTGCTAAATGACAATAAAAGTCATGACTGCAGTCTATGTCAGAGGGTAGAAGGGACACAGAGATCCACTCAGCTCCTAAGGGCCAAAATGCACCATTCTCATGCAGTGTGTGGCATTAACGCACATATTACTGCAACACGCATTAAGTGCATTAGCCTGTTGTAGCCCTTTTCGTTTTTATTTTATTCATGCGCTGCCCTGCACCATGACGCAAGGTAACGCACTACCATGCACTTTGTTGCCGAAAATGGTGCATGTCCATTTTTTTGGTTGTTTTGGTGCGTTGCTAGCCTGTTCACTTGAATGGGCTGCCTTGATAATGTGCATTACTGCATGTGCTTTAAAGTGGTCCCTGCATGTCAAATGGAAGGTTCACTTTTTTCATCAGAAGGTTCACCAGAAGGGCTGTGGAGGTTCTCAGGAGGGCTGTGGAAGATCTGTGGAGGATCTCAGGAGGGCTGTGGAGGGTCTCTGGAGGGCTCCGGAGGTTCTCAGTAGGGCTGTGGAAGATCTCAGTAGGGCTGTGGAAGATCTCAGTAGGGCTGTGGAAGATCTCAGGAGGGCTGTGGAGGATCTCAGGAGGGCTGTGGAGGATCTCAGGAGGGCTGTGGATGGTCTCAGGAGGGGTGTGGAAGATGTCAGCAGGGCTGTGGAGGGTCTCAGGAGGGCTGTGGATGGTCTGAGGAGGGGTGTGGATGGTCTCAGGAGGGGTGTGGAAGATGTCAGCAGGGCTGTGGAGGGTCTCAGGAGGGCTGTGGAGGATCTCAGGAGGGCTGTGGAAGATCTCAGGAGGGCTGTGGAAGATCTCAGGAGGGCTGTGGAAGATCTCAGGAGGGCTGTGGAAGATCTCAGGAGGGCTGTGGAAGATCTCAGGAGGGCTGTGGAAGATCTCAGGAGGGCTGTGGAAGATCTCAGGAGGGCTGTGGAAGATCTCAGCAGGGCTGCGGAGGTTCTCAGGAGGGGTGTGGAAGATCTCAGGAGGGCTGTGGAAGATCTCAGCAGGGCTGTGGAGGTTCCCAGGAGGGGTGCGAAAGATCTCAGGAGGGGTGCCATATATCTTAGGAGGGCTGTGGAGGGTCTCAGGAGGGCTGTGGAGGGTCTCAGTGGGGCTGTGGATATCATCTGCACCCCTCCTGATATCCTCCGCCCTGGGATATCAGGCTGGCACCCCGGAGCAGTGCGGCAGCACAGAATATGCAGCAAGTTCATATACTATTATTTTGCATTGATGTATAATGTATTGCTGGGATTTGTAGTCCTCTATAGCCGGTGCCATTCTGCATTGCCGCATCATGTATTGTGCTTTTTAGTCCTCTATAGCTGATGGTATTATTCGGCATTGCTACCGGTATATAATGTATTGCTGAAATTTGTATTCCTCCATAGCTGATGGTACTATTCGGCATTGCTGTATAATGTAATGTATGCAGCTGGGACCGGGCTCTGGCACTCCACCACTGTCCTAAAATCATTAGTCTGTATTGTTTTAGAAAAACTGTAATTGGTATCGGCGAGTACTTGGTCAGCAAGAAATTGTATTGGTGCTTCCCTATAAAATACTCAAACCCTCCACAACATAGAGACTTATAATTCTGCAGTCAGAACTGGGAGGGCTACTTAGACTTTTTGAGATAACAGAGGAAGTGTGAGTAGGACAGATCTGGATTTCAGTCAAGACTTTTGTTGTTAAATAGCTCCCATATTTGCCCCCCTCTGATCTATCCTATAGAATGTGAATGCAGCATCAGATTAGAGGGGCACTCTTGAACTATAACTACTTGATGATTTTGATCAGGGGTAGGCAATTCATTTTCACAAGGGGCCACATGGGAAACTGGGACTGTTGTGGAGGGCCGCGCCCTGTTGTGGAGCCGTGGAGTGGAGCACACTGTTGAAGACGAAGGAAGAGTATACTCTTTCATTCTTCAGTAATGCTGGGGGCCTGGGAACACCTTTGAAGTCACTGGTTGCTAGGACAGTCGGTGGTCCTAGCAACCAGTGACTTCAGAGGAGGTGGACACCTGATGTCATTGGTTGCTAGAAAAGCAGCAGTCCTAGCAACCAACAACTGAAGAGGCTCAACTGTGCTAAGCTATGGCTGCCAGAGTCCTGAGACCCTTCGCACATTTTCCCCTCCTGAGACCCTCCGCACATCTCCCCCTCCTGAGACCCTCCGCACATCTCCCCCTCCTGAGACCCTCCGCACATCTCCCCTTCCAGAGACCCTCCGCACATTTCCCCCTCCTGATATCCTCCAACAGTAGACATCAGGCTTTTAAACATCAAGTAATGCACTGGTCTCTGGACTTAGCAATGCACTAGACTCAAGGCTTAGCAACGCACTGGTACCTGGACTTAGTAATGTACTGGACTCTGGGCTTAGTAATGCACTGGACTCAGGACCTGGTGACGCACTGGACTCAGGACTTAGTAACGCACTGCACTCAGGACTTAGTAACGCACTGCACTCAGGACTTAGTAACGCACTGCACTCAGGACTTTGTAATGCACTAGACTTAGTAACACACTGGACTCAGGGCTTAGTAACACTCTGAACTTAGTAACTCACTGGACTCAGGGCTTAGTAACGCACTGTGACCCTGCAGAGCCCACCATAGATCCTGCACAGCCCATCTGAAACTCTCTATGGTGGGCTCTGCAGGGTCTCAGGTGGGCTGGTCATGCAGCTCCTCTTACCTGCTTATGCTGCTGGGTTCCGGCCTCCTCTACCTCCGCCACCAGACCCACCGAACCGGCGCTGCTGGACCGGCGCTGCAGCTGGGGCCCGGGCCTCCTCCACCTTCTCCCATCAGCGGGCCCTCCCAGCCCAGGAATTTCAGGTGGTGTGGCTGCCCCAGGGCCCAGGCCTCTCCTATGGGTATCGGCTATGTACCCCCCCCCCCTAATGGTGGCCCCGGCTAAAAAACATTCATTTGAACAGATATCCGCCCAGAATGAAAGTTCACAGATATTCGCAGGGACTAGAGCCTCGTGGATAGTTTATAAATAGACCCCCTCACTGTGGAGGTAACTTCCTGCGGAGGAGCGGGCTGAGATGATGATCCTTTAGACAAATGTGAAAGATTAACTTGCGACGGAGTCATTTGGAGGAAACCAAACCTAGAAGAATAACACTGAGATTCAGATTCTGCTCCGGAGATCCGAATTGATGAAGTTTGGTCCAAACCTAACCCTGCATTTCAGGATTAGCAGCCCAGACCGGTCATGCATCAGGTAGGTATCAGGCAGTGATACTTTGTAACACATCGGTTGAACTCGATGGACTATCTATAGGTAACATATCCTTCTGCTGGACCAAAGAACTGTCTTGGGGCCAGAATGAATTCACCGCGAGGGACCGAAACCTAAGCCTCCAAATTACAATGAGAACGCCTCCCTAGTCTGCAATCCAGCCGTTACCCCATTACACATTCATTTCGCTAACATACATAGTACAAAGAGGTAGAGCTGGGACCGTTGCACGGCTCCGAAAATCTCAATTCCCCTGTAACAAAACAGACTTCTCGTTGGTTTAATTGGTGCACATCTGCCATTCTAGCCAGCTTCTCTGGTGAGTTATGAGCCCTCTTCCTCGCCAGCCTCACAAATCATATCTGTGTGCCGAAGCTTTGTTAAAACTCCCAAGATTAATACAGGAGGAGATTGACAAATTGTGAGACACATGCATTTTAAATGCCCAGTAAATCCATGCATCAACGTCCTCATTTAACGTGATGCCTGTCAACCTCGTTAAACTCTCTCTGCAAAGTGAAGGTACGTGTGCGCTTCTAAAATGATGGGGGGGTTTGTTATTTTTGTTCAGACTTAAAGCTACAAACCAGTCAGAAGTGAAAATTAAAGGGTATGTACACCCTGACAATGCACTTCTCTTGTTTGCCTGCTAAAGTGATAATAAAGTCAAAAGGTGTTTAAAGGAGAACTATGAGGTGAGTGATTTTCATTCACGTCATAGTTGTGGCCGACCTGCGACAATGAGACTGTCACAGGTCGGCTCAGTAGATCGGGAGGTGAGCGAACACATACCAGGTTCGCTCACCTCTCGATCCTGTCACTGCAGAGAGCCGTGACAGGGGAGTTATCTGGATTCTCCCCTGTCCGATCCTCCAGCGCTGACTGGCGGAACGGACGGGGGAGGGGGTGGGTACAGCTGTCTCTGCCTCTAGATAGGCAGAGCCAGCTGTCACTCACGCAGCTGGGCGGATCCAGACATAATTGTCGTGATCCATTTCAGCTGCGGCGTCGCCGTATACCGGGAGCTGCAGCTCGCGATATACCGAGCTTTGGGTGACGGGAGGACGCTAGTTTGTGTCCTCCCGTTACCCTAAGGAGAACTATGGGGAAAAGCGCTAAGCTCATAGTTCTCCTTTAAGATATTTCAGATGCTGATGAAATCACTTACAATGGACGCTGCTCCTCGATGTTTAAACGTTTTAGTTTCCTGCAGAATCAGCTGGTCCTCTGACCACTAGCCCTGATATCCTGTTTTAGGGTGACTCCTTTTCCTTGCAGTGTCCTATGGAGCCACCCTTGTGTGTGCTAGTAAGCTGTGTGTTTGTCTCGACAAACTTCTGTTTAGTTTTAGGCTAGGGATTACAACTCCTGTTAGATTTTAATTGCTGTCTATGTCCTTGTTAGGGAAATTCACCCGCTATTGTTGTCCTGGGAACCGTCATCACTGAAAGCGAACGGAAATCCTACATTTTGGGTGGTTACCAGAATAGGAATAGATGGGA